TGGGCAGGACCTAGCATTCATGTCCCAAGTCCTCACCTGTAGGACCTGGCTTCTGTTTGAAGGTGGGGATACTTACTCTCATCACTGTCCTGGGGATGTTCACCCTGAGAGATTGACTCAGTACTAACTGGGAAGTAAACCCTGCAATGCTGGCTTATTAATTTGCCATGAGGAACCATCACCAGAGGGACCAGATATACTCCAAGTCCATATACTGAGCACAGGAAGGCGACCCGCACAGGAAACCAAATCACAATCAGAAACCATTAAATCGCCCTGAAAAATCATCATCATAGAATCTAGAAATACCTCAAGTCTGTATGATCAGTTCATTCTTTCCCTAAAGATACAGGGAGCTTAATCATAGTCCAAAAGTTGTTTGACGAGTGGATAATCAGAATGGGGGAGGCTGAGGTGAAGGTTTAGTGGCAACAGGTTAGCTTCATGAGTAGATCTCAGCATGGGAATGATTTTGCCTGAAGAAGTGAACTGCTCAAAGCCAAGTGGCTAAGACTTCTGTTTTTCTAGAGGAAAACTATTGAAGAGATATATTGGGTTTTTTTGTTCACATAACAAATTACCCAAAACGTAGCAGCTAAAACAATTAACATGTTACCACATGCAGTTTCTATGGATCAGGAATATGAGTGTTTCTGGCCGAGTTTCCCAAATGTTATCTGGAATGCAGTCATCTGAAGGCTTAAAGGGCTGGGAGTTCTGTTTCTAAGATGGTTCCCTCACAGGGCTAGCAAGTGAGTGCTGCCTGTTGGCGGAAGACTCACTTCCTCACTATCAAGACCCTTCTCCCTACTGGGTTCTTTTGAGTACTGTCACAGCATAGCAGCTGGCTTCCCCAGAGTGAGTAACCTGAGAGAGAGCGAGGTAAAAGCTTCAGCGCCTCTTATTTATTTTTTTAATTAATCTATTTATTTGAGAGAGAGAGAAAGAGCAAGCGTGAGCGGGGGGAGGAGCAGAGGGAGAGGGACAAGCAGACTCCGCGCTCGGCACAGAGCCCAACCTGGAGCTCGATTCCATGACCCTGAGATCATGACCTGAGCCGAAATCAAGAGTTGGACGCTTAAGCGACCGAGCCACCCAGGTGCCCCTTCAGTGCCTTTTATAACCTAATCCATGAACTCACACACTGTCACTTCTGCTACGTTCAATTTGCTAGAAGTGACTCACTAAGTCTAACCCTGCACTGTACGGGAAAGGAATTAATTAGGCTCCATCTTTTAGAGAGGAATGTCAAAGAAATTGTGGACATATTTTTAAAACCACAGTAGGTATCACCTCTGTAACTACTCTTCCTGCACTTCCATAGCTGGCAAGTCTTCTGCTGATCCATGCATTCTATTTAAATATATTCGTATTACTATATTTGTAAATATAATACACATATACACATTTTATATATAGTTCTATATTATATATCTTATGTATTATAGAAACACATATTATAAACGTTAATGTATTTAACTTATGGCCAAGCTCTCTAGCATGATAATCATTATGTATCTTTATGCTAATTTGCATACCCACATTCTGCCACCTCCCTAGCCAGGGGGACCGGAGGCAAATGGCTTGACCTCTCTGTGCCTCTCTGTCCTCATCTGTAAAATAAGGCTGTAATAGGACCTACCTCATCCATTTCTTAGGAGGATTAAATGAGTAATTACATGCACAGAGCTTACAAGAGTGCCTGGCACATAAACCACATTCAATGCTGTTAGCTGTCCGCGTGGCGGCGGTAGCTGCTGCAGGAATAGTTCGATCCAGTAGTACACCTCAGAAGACTGCCTTCAGGAGGCAGCCAGCCTCACATCCAGGTTCCCGATGGTAGTAAACAAAAGTCATCGTTGTCTTCCTGGCCACACCCCAGTCCCACACCATCCAAGCCCTGTCCCGAGGATAGAGAAAGACCCATTTCAGGCCTGGAAGGGACCAGGGCCAGGGCCCTTGTTTTCCTCTCCTCTTTGCTGCTAATCCCTGGCAGAGAGTGCTCACAGGGAGATAACATGGTTAGTTTGCACTCCGAGTCCTATTTATGTTTTGTTTTTGTTCTTTTTTTTTTTTTTAGGCTGACCTTTTGTAGAAGGGTAGAATACCCAAACAGGGAAGTGACCTCGCAGAAAGCTAGGGAGTTCCTCAACCCTGTGAATTTTTATTAAAACTTGTTTAATTTTTATTAAATAAATAAAAGAATTTATTTCTAAACGTACATTTTCCAGGTGCACGCTAGCTACGTCTGCTCATCGGACTGGCATCAGACACAGATATATCTTCCTCTCGGGACCTTTTGCTTCTTGCCAGTGCCTCTTTAGTTCCTTGGGCGTAATGAATAGATTTTCTCTTTATCTGAAGCATATTCATAATTAAAAACATGCTGGGTGTTTCCTGAAAATGTATTGATGGCAAGTTGGAACTGGTGCTTCCTCCATCTCCCAAAGCTACTTTAAAAGGGAGCCCATACCTAATGGAATGCACCAGGGTTGTCTCTTGTCAGGAGGCAGTTAGCTAAATATAGAGTCAGGGAGCCGGGAGGGACCTGCTGAGGTCATGGGTGCCCTCCCGCCATCGGCTTTCCCCATCTGAATGTCTCCAGCCCCATGGCTAGCCAGTTCTGCAGCCTCCAGCCAGGCATGGCTTCTGAGCACTTCAGCTGTGGCTAGTCCCAGTTAGAGATGTGAGGTCAGTGGTAATATACATACACCCTGGATGTCGAAGACTTGGTGCAAAGAAAAGAATGTAAAGTGTTTCATTGATGATTTATGTTGATTACAAGTTGAGATAATAATGTTTTGATATATTGGATTAAAGAAAATAGATCATTGAAATTAATTTCACCTCCCTCTTTTCACTTTTCTTTTAATACTAGAAAATTTTAAATACCGTATGTAGCTCACATTACATTCTACCCAACAGTGCTTCCTTAGACCCATCTATCTCCATTCTTCAGGCCCCCAGGACAGAGATTATAAAGCCTTCCTTGGAGACTCCTCTGGGTCTTTTGTCATCCTGGCACTTCATTTCTTCTCCACATCCAGTCTTAATCTCTGCTGCTTCAATGTGAAGACTTGTACTTCAAATCTTTGACTCTTCGTCTTCTGAAATCCCCACATTGAGCATCTCTTTATGCTGTTAATTTATAAGCTCAGTAGCCCTATTTTCTTTCACCCTTTGACTTTCTGCCTCTTCCAACTCTGGTATTTTTTAATGGCCTTCCCTGGGTCATCTTTAGACTCTATAATTATTTTTAAAACTCAGTATCTGAAACCAACCAACATGGCTCTAATGTGGGGCCCAACTAATGCAGAGACAAGTAGAAGGCATTATTTCCACCATCGAGTACTTGACCAGTCCTTTTGATACATTGTCATGCAAGGAGGGACAGATGCTGTTGGTAATGGTCTTAACTGATGAGGCAGTTGAGGCTCCTATAGGCAAAGTAACTTACTGAGGTCCCACCGCAAATTAAGTGGCAGATCTGGGATCCATGCCCAGGTTTGCCTGATTGCAGAGCCCACATTCTTTCATTCTATCCCATGCCTTCCTTGCCCGATACTTTTCTTTGGTCTTGACGGGCCTTATAGTACTTGGCTGATGCATTTGTAGCTTCTGGCCAACAATGACTCTTGAGCTTGTTCTGATATGTGTGTGCCTTGCTAGAACTGTAAAGCCCGTCTGCTAAATTCCAGAGACCCCTTTTCAACTCAGCATATACTTCAGGAAAGCCAGTAGGACTGCCCTGCCTTAGCCTATGTAGGATAATCAGTAGGCCAGGGACAATGTCTTCGGGTATCAGGAGTGACTTTTCAGGAAGGGAGCTTTCTTTCTTGTGGCCCCAGGTTCTAAGGATAACTTCCAGTTTCCAGAACAAGCTACTTCTAAAAGGCCAGTCGAAGGCAAAATACATTGCTTATTCATGTTTACCTAAAGGCAGTCAGTGTGTGTTCTGAGTAGAAGGGGACAAGAAGGTGTCACAAATGGATCTTCTCATGAATGAAGTCACCAGTCACAAAAAGCCAAATACTGTATGTTCCCACTTATATGAGGTAACTAGAGTAGTCAAATAGATAGTGACAGAAAATACAACGGTGGTGGCTAGGAGCTGGGGGAGGGAAGAAATAGGGAGTTATTTTTCAATGGGTACAGAGTTTCAGTCTGAAAAGAAGAAAAAGATCCGGAAATGCATGGTGGGGATGGCTGCACAACATTGTGAATGTCCTCATTGCCATACAACCCTACACTTAAAAATGGTGAAAATGGTAAATATTATGTTATCCAGACTTTACCATCATAAAGATAACTAAACAGATCTTCTCTGCTTAAAGAAAAATAGCTTGCTTATCGTGTGTGATTAGAGGTGCCACTCGTGCTAAGTCTAGCTTTGAGATCTAGCTTTGGGGTCACAGTGGTTTTCAGAGGCAGCTTCTCATGAGAAGGGCAGGCTTACTTCACCAAGATGAGGGGAGTCCTTTCTTTTCCTGACAGATTTCTCTATCTAGGAAGCTTTAACATCCTCACACAATTGCCTTTGCTAGAGTGTAACCCACTTTTCCACAGATGTCTGCAGGAGGGAAAGCAGGCTTATCCCCAAGGATCCAATGAACCTTCGACAACATTTGCTTCTCTATGGAGATTTTCTTAGTCCTTATCACCGTCTATCTGAAGGTGTGGCTAGACTTTTCTAAGAGCAAACACAGGGCTGTAAATTCTTTTTGGTTGTACCAAAGTAGTTGTAGGCTCTTTGGAGACCTGAATGGGAATTAGATTGAGCACCCAAACATCCAAGAACATTTGTTCTGTGTTTCATTTATGTCACTGCCCCTTGACAACCTGGAGTCCGTTATCCGACCCGATGCACAGGCTGTTTTGAGAAAAATTTAGCCAGGATACCTAGATGGAGACTCTAACCCATAGGAATTCTCTTTACAGTGTGGTGTTTCATGCCATTGTGGGTGTATTTGCTTATTCGCCCTGTATATTTTCCTTTCCAGGAATCATTAACCAATGGCAACAGGAATCCAAGGATAAAGCGATTTCCCTCCTGTTAACTCATCTGCCTTTGCTGAAGCCAGGAAACCTTGATGCAAAAGTAGAGTATATGAAACTGCTGCCCAAAATCCTGGCGCACTCTATTGAACACAACCAGCACATCGAGGAGAGCAGGCAGCTACTGTCCTATGCTTTGATACATCCGGCTACTTCGCTGGAAGACCGCAGCGCGTTAGCCATGTGGCTGAACCACTTGGAGGACCGCACGTCGACCAGCTTTGGCAGCCAGAACCGAAGCCGCTCGGACTCTGTGGATTATGGGCAGACGCACTACTATCACCAAAGACAGAACTCCGATGACAAGCTTAATGGGTGGCAGAACTCTCGGGATTCTGGGATTTGCATCAACGCCTCCAACTGGCAGGACAAAAGCCTGGGGTGTGAGAACGGCCACGTGCCCCTCTACTCCTCCTCATCTGTCCCCACCACAATCAATACAATTGGAACCAGCACAAGTACAAGTAAGTTCCCTGAAAGCCCTCTAGAGCAGTCTGGTGTAGTGACTTGCTGTGTGTGGCATGTCCCGCTGAGAATGTCGCTCTGAGCACCCCGTAACCCTGGAAGAGAGGGGCTCACTGGAATGGGCTGTGGGAAAGGGATCTTTGGATCCCTTTGACTCTGGAAAGATAAAAATGCTGGGCAGGTAAAATGATCGATGGTCCAAATTTGGGTTGGACTATGGGTTGGTGGGACTAAAAAGTAAATAAATAAGAGAGAATAGATGGGAAAAGAAGGAAACTTCCTGTTTCCACAAGTAGAAATGCCTTTTACCCACATGCCTTTCACGCTAGGGTTTTTGGATTTGCCAAGACACTGAGTTACGTGTGATTCTCTAAACCTGATTCTAACCCCTGGTTAACCAGATGCCCTCATGGGATTTGTGCATTTTCTTTTTTTTTCTTCTTCTTCTTCTTTTTTTTTTTTCCTTTTTCTTTCTTTCTTTCTTTTTTTTTTTTTATACTATATTTCACCCTGGAATGTTCCCTCCTTTGCATTTTCTGGTTTTTATCCCCTGCTGTTGGGGGCACTTTTCCTCCTGACAAGGGAAACAGGTTTGCTAACTGGGAATGTGGCTCTGTGCTGTGGCCTGGTGTGAATGCTGTGGCCTTTTCTTGCTCAGTCTAACTTAGGAGAGGCGGGTCGGGAACAGCTTTGAGGAAGGGGAGAGCAGAGGACAGCTTTCTGCTCTTTTGACCATAAAGCAAAGTACCCTGCGCACAGCTGGGACTCGGGCCAGGAATCCTCTCTGTGGCTCCCCACTCAGGCCGAGCAAAGGGACAAACATGCCATTGGTGCTTCTATAAGCGGCAACATGGGAGAGGGGGCCTGTCATTAAACAGAAACCCTTGATGCTAGGTGCATGTGTCTGTGAATACAGTGTCAGCACTGAGATAACTTTCTCGAGGGAAAGCTTTTGTGGTCAGACCTTCCGTGCCTGTCAACATGCAGGAACCCCCAATTAAAAGATCTGAGAGTAGTAAGAATTAACAGTGACGGCTTCTTGGCCTCTCCCTCCACTCGGATCTCTCAGCTAATGGGTCCTTTGAAATGGCTTTCTCAAATACATAGGAGTGTCGAATTAGAACTACATTAATTGAAATAACCAAGGAAATACTTAAGATACTGCATTCATAAGATTTTTAATTCTTTTTTTTACTTTTACATTGAGATTTTGATAACTCATACATTTGGGGAATTAAGGGATTATTGCCTCATTACTTTATTATGTAAGAGGTTGTGGGGGCAGTCTCTTTTGCAGACTAGTAATCCAGGGAACAGTTTCACTAGCCTCTGTGTGACAGAGAGTGGTGGCTGGGACTATTAAGACAGACACATGCAGGCTGGATGACAGAGCTTTTTGGCTCAAGTTTCCCGGGTCAGGGACAGAATCTAGTAATTATTACAAAACTCTTTGATAGCTGGGAGAGATGCAAGCTCCAAGCCGCCTGCCCTCTCAGAACTTGGTCTTTCATATTTTAAGGGCTGAATTTTATGTCATTAGTCTTGGGTCATCATATTTCTGTCTCTCCTGATTTGCACACTCAGGGCTGTAAGTCTTGATAAGATTAGTACATTCGAGGTGGTTAGCAGATTGTAGTCCGTGGGTACTTTCATTTTTCACTGTGGCTGCCCAGCCCTGCAGAGGGGAGAAAATGCAGAGATAACTGTCATGGCCTCCCAGATCTTTGGGTCCCTGTGTAGTACTTGAGTAGAAAAAGACTTGAAGGTTTGACAAGATAACTAGATTATATATCTCAGGAAGAAGAAAGGGATTGGAGCCCTGTTTCAGAGCCTTGGCAAAGAAAGCTCAGATCTCTCTTCCAGAAAGTTTTATGCAAACACTTAGGCCATGTCAACACTTGTATTTCAGTATCTCTTTAACAAAACATTAGTGTCATTGCTTTAGTCTTCTGCATTGTCTATGGTGGTTAAATGGTGTTTGTCAAAGCTGCAAACTTTTGGGTCATTCATTCACTTGTGCCTCTATCAAGTATATCCTGAGCACCTGGGAGGCAGGTTGACGAAATGGAAAGAATAAGGACTTTGGTGTCAATGTCCTGCTAAGTCCAAATCTCAGATCTACAATTTGCAAACTACAGCTTGGCCAAGTTACTTAACCTCTCTGAGCAAGGTCTTCACTTGTAAAATGAGAACATTCTTTTTTTTTTTTTTTTTAAAGATTTTATTTATTTATTTGAGAGAGAGAGAATGAGAGACAGAGAGCATGAGAGGGAAGAGGGTCAGAGGGAGAAGCAGACCCCCGCTGAGCAGAACATTCATGACATCCATCTTTGAGGGCTGTGGTGAAGGCACATGAGATTACATATGTTGACGCCCAGCCCTGGCCAGAGCTGGCAATGGCATCTGCTAAGCGAATAAATGGAGAGGGTAGGAAGGACATCGAGGAGCAAAGTGCTAACACTGACACCCAGAGTCTGTGCCCGCATTTGCATCTCTGACTGTCACCTGATGAAAGCACCTTTCCCGAGCCCAGGCCACGCAGAGTAGACTAGGGATCCTTGACTATGCCGTGACTTTTGGCCATTTTACTACAATAGAAAATGGGTTGGACTGAAGGCTTCAGGACCTCTTCTACTGCACTGAAGAGCTAGATGTCTTCCTTCTTTTAAAATGAAAAAAATACTCACACAAAACAACATGATTATAAATCATAGTAGAGCTGAGATCAATTAGTGCTTCGCATTTTCAAATTATCAGCCACCTTAATGACAGTTAATGAAAAGAAACTAACTAGAAGACGACTTCTTTACACAGTTTTTGGTTTTTAATCTTGGTTTATCCCACTCATGTTTTATTCCTTTGGTCATTACGCTCCAGCAAAGTGCCTTAGCATTCATGACCTCCTCCCTGTGTGGATTGTGCATCATCCAGCTGCATTGCAAACACTACCCACCTCCTGGGTGCCCAGCACTGTGTTCGAGGCCGTGGAAAATATAAGGAAGCTTAAGGAAAGTGATTCGTTTTCAGGGAACCTATCATATAAGTGGAAAGAGAAGATAGATCAGTCAGTCTCACAACTGAAAATGAAATCTCTCCCTCTAGCCAGACTAATCTGCAAAAATTTTACATAATAACCCATGCATTACATAAAAGTGCAGTTAAAAAAGAATAATTCCAATAGCTGCCATCGGGTGATATAGGATTGTGTCAGCTGAAGCGGGGGAGGGGGGGCCCGTACTATAAGCACTGTGAATGTGTGAAATGGAAAGATCCTTGTGAACCGGAGGGTCAGGAAAGCCTTTGCAGGTAATAGAGGAAGTAAGCTAGGTTGGAGATGGTGGGAGGACCGAGGGTAGGGACATGCATTGTGAGCAAAGGCATGGAGGTTATAGTATGCAGTCAGGGTTGGAAGACAGTGAGGAAGAAGGAGAGGTTCACGAAGGAAAAAGAGTAGTGAGAGACGGCAGTACAAGTAGACTGAGGGAGGGGATCTGAGAGCTCTAAAGAGTCCAAGCATCCCACCATGGATGTGGCAGTGATATGAGCAGTGCTGCAGAGGGACTGGTGTACTGGGTGCAAACCAGATGAATGACAAGTGCTGAGTTTCAAAACCTCAGTTGTGAGGTAGTAAAAGTATCATGAGGATAGGAACAGGCATGGAGCAGAAGGAATGGGTGCTAGAAATGTTTCTAGGTGTAATTATGAAAATTAGGATTCAGGGCGCCTGGGTGGCTCAGCTGGTTAAGCGACTGCCTTCGGCTCAGGTCATGATCCTGGAGTCCCAGGATCAAGTCCGTCATCGGGCTCCCTGCTCAGCAGGGAGTCTGCTTCTCCCTCTGACCCTCCCCCCTCTCATGTGCTCTCTCTCTCTCTCAAATAAATAAATAAATAAATCTTTAAAAAAAAAAGAAAATTAGGATTCAGTATTGACTTGGACATACATTATCAATTTATTTATTTGTTAATTCATTCACTTAGAAAATGTTTATTGAGCACCTACTATATGCTTAACCTATTTAAGGCACTCAGGGTGCATCAGCAGACAAGACAAAGATGCTCTCCCTTGTGGAGTTTGCAGTCTAACATGTATAAATTATAATATATAAGGAACTTATATAGTGTGTTAGAGATTGGTGAGTGGCATGGAAAAAAACAAAAAGAGTAGGGTCAGGAGGGTCAGGCCTAGGTGGTGAGGTGGTTATAGGATTAAATAGGGTGGTCAGGGTAGACCTCATCAGGAAGGTAACATGTGAACAAAGACTTGAAGGAGGTAAAAGGGTTAGCCAAGTGGGTGTCTAGGGGGACAATAGTCCAGCCAGAGAAAAAGCTTAAACAAAGATCCCAAGATCTTTTCCCAGCTTGCTGGGGAAAACCAAGAAGGCCAGCGGCTGAAAGGGAATGAGTGAGTGAGGTAGACAGTGGCGGAGGTTGCTGAGGTATCGGGAAAGGACAGATCCTACAGGGCACTGCAGGCTATTGCAAGGACTTTGACTTTTGCTCTCAGGAAACCAAGAAGCCATTGGAGGGTTTTTGGCAGACAAGTGACATGATCTGACTTATATTTTAAAGGGATCACTTTGGCTGCTGTATCAAGAATAGGCTGTACCAGGGCAAGGATGGAAACACAAAGGTCAGTTCAGAGGCTATTGCAGTAATCCAGACCAGACATTGCCGACTCTGACCGGGATGGCTGAGGTAGAAGAGAGAAGAGTGTCAGAGTCTAGATATGTTTTGAAAGTACAGCCAACGGGATTTCCTGACAAAAGAAATGAAGGGTATGAGGGAACGAATTCAAGAATGACTCCAGAGTTTCTGCTTATGTAACTGGAAGGATGGAGAAAATTTCTATTAAGTTTGAAAGCAAGATTGGGAGTTGTGTCATATATGACGAATCTCGGTGCCCATTAGACGATCAGACAGGTCTCGTGGGCATTTAGACGTATGAGTGTGCGGTTTGGGAGAGAGGACTGATCTGAGATAGACGTTTGGGAGTTACCAG